CGTCGGCCTGGCCAGCGGCAGCGCAGATCGGCTGGGCGGCCGCCGACCGTCGACCCGACCCCAAGAGGGACGAACAGGGGACCGACCACGACGACGACGACGACGACGACGACGACGTCGACGACGACGACGACGACGACGACGACGACGGCGACGACGCGAGAGCGAGAGAGAACGACAGCGGGGCCACGAAGGACATGAAGTAGGCCACGAAGGGCGACAGCGGGGACACGAAGGGAATGCGTATGGGGCCACGAAGAGCTCTAACGAGCGGGGGCCACGAAGGGCAGCTAGTGCGGGGCCACAGAAGGCAACTGGGCCACGTAGGACAGTGAAGGGGCCACAAATGGCGACAGCTGGGCCACAGGGCATGCACATGGGGCCACAACGGGCGCGACTCCTGGGAGCTTGGGTGTCGGGAGCGCGGCGCTTAAGCAAATTGCAAGAAATTCCAATGCAAGGGCGCTATTCTTCTGTAAATTGCAAGCAAGTCTCCAGCGAGAGCGCGACTCCAGAGCGCCGGGAGAGCGACTCCTGAATAAATTGTAAGGAAGTCCCAAGCGAGAGCGCGATCCCTGAATAACATGCGAGGAAGTCTGGGGCGGGAGCGGGGGTCCTGGCTAAATTGTGAGGAAGTCTGAAGCGGAAGTAACCCGGGGGCCACGGGCCCAGTTTGAGCATCAAGACTGTCCGTGTGAAAAAACAGGGTGCGAGCGTCGAGGGGCACACTTTCATTGATAAAAAACAGTATGCACCGGTGGGGGTGATCAACAATAATTATTCTTCAGAAATGAGAATTCAACCACAACAACAACACCACCAACAACACCAACACCAACACCAACACCAACACCAACAACACCAACAACAACAACACCACCACTACCAACAACAACAACAACAGCAACAACAACAACAACAACGCAACAAGTAGAATCCTCACCACGGATCCGCACTTAAGTCACGCACCCAGGGACAATTAATGACCGTTCGGCCCCCTCACTCAGACAATATTCGCGCCCCCGAATCCAACATCTATTGGACATTGCACCATGTTCCCGTCCCCGAAGCCATACGCCTTCAAACATTACACAATATTCACACCCACGACGCCATGAACCTTCGCAAATGAATCGTGCTTGCGTCCCCGAGGCTACAAACCCTCGCAAGTTACACCATATTCGCGTCCGCGAAGCCATAGACATTCGTAGATTACATAGTGCTTGCGTCCCCGAGACCACAAACCCCATCAAAGTACACAAGATTCGCGTCCTCAAGGCCATAAACCAGTGTAACTTACATCCTAGTTTCGCCCCCAAGGCCATACACCATCGCAAATTACACCGTATTTGCGTCCCCGAGGCCACAGACCCTTGTAATTCACACAGTGTTCGCGTCCCCGAAGTTTAGGTTCGGCAACAGCCACTACAAGCGGTCCACCGCCATATCGGGCGAAGAAAATCAAACTCAAACAAACACTTCAAAACATCTCTAAAGCAAATTAAGCCAAAACCTACGGAAATCTCAAACTCTAAAACAACTTCAAAAACTATAAACCACAATCAGCGAACATCTCAAACTCCAAAAACAAAACTTCAAATACTATCTAAGCCAAAGCATGCGGAAATCCCAAACTCTAAGATAACTTCAACAAATCACTAAAACAAAACCTGCGAAAATCCCAAACTCTCAAAAAAAACTCCCAACAGAACTCTAGACCGAAACCTGGGGAAATCTCAAACCTAAAAAAACGTAACACCGGAACTCTAAAACAACTCTATAAAAAAAAATCCAAACACAACGATACGAAAACAACTCTAAATGCTCAACACCTCCAAACCAACTATAAACAACTCCTTGGAAATGTGCAAACGCCTAACAACTCCTTAGCACAACTCTTGAAGCAATCTAAACAAATAACTTTAACACAACATTTAACACACTCGAAACAAATTTCAGACCGCCTGGCGAAGTCAAAAACAGCGTATACCAAACTATGATTTTCGCAGGTGCTGGTTTTGAGTTGTTTGGAAGTTTCTGTAGAGTTTGAGATGTTCGCAAGTTTTGGCTGAGAGATTATTCAAAGTTTTTCAGGTTGAGATGTTCGCAAGTTTTCACTTCGAGTTTTTTTGAAGTTTTTTAGAGTTTGAGATATCAGCAGGTTTTGGCTTAGAGATTGTTTGAAGTTTTTCGGGAGGTGGAGTCTCCTGCTGAAGACGTTCCTAAGATTTGGGCTGGTTTTCTCAATGGACCTCCTGTAGTATAACTGCCGAACCTAACCCGCAGCTATAAACCGTTGCGAATTACACAATATTCGCGCCACCGAAGCAATACACCATTGTAAATTAATATTGACCCTCGCGTGAAGTCCCGACATTGCTTCACGTCAGCGTCCAAACATCCCAACACAACTCTGGCAAGTCCCATTCTAAGAGAGGGGAGCCGGCTGCATGGGGGCGAAGCCCTTACGGATAAAAAACGACCACCATTCATGACGCAAACAGAATCGAGCAACTAAAAGTTACGCAACAAAAATCAAGTGACCGCAGCCTATGGCGTGCAGCCGTGCAAACCACTGGCGCCTGACCTGCATGAAACGCCGCCCTCACTCGAGGGACCTGCTGCCCTAAAGAAACCTACCGGAACCTTTCTGCGGGCAACCATTGTCAATAATGGTCCCTGCCCAGAGTCAGGCGCAGACAGAGATAATGCTGTCCAGCGCCTGGACGGGCGGACACCCCTGCGCAACACACTCGGAACCCAGAAGCGGCCGCGGCCCCAACGACATGTCTTTCGCCCCAAGCCGCTCTGCGACACTCCGACGGCCTCTGGGGCCCCGACACGTCAGTTCGACTGATGACGTGGGAATGCGCTTGAAGTATACAGCCAAAGTTGTGATCAAAAAAACCATCCTTTAAGACATCTGGACCAGCTCCCCGAAATTTCTTAAAACATTCCCGGGCCAATTCCTGCTGTGAACACTGGAAGGGCCAAACGAGCTCAAGAGACTGGGCCATCTTTCTGGCAAGTCGGTCAAGGAAAGCCGGCCCAGCTTTTCGGGAGGAGGTTTATTAATCAGATGCTCGCCTGTACTAGGATCTGGGTTTTCCCCCCCAAAGCTGCATTCTTGCAAGCGAACGGCGTGCAATCCAACCTCCGCGTTGGCATTGTGACTCACAGCGGAGGAACTCATGTGTACCCTGATTGATCCACTGCGAATTCGATTGAATACCGTTGGCGGCCGATTCACATTGCCGTTGTCAATACTGGATGAACACCCTGGCAGCGTGCGTCGGTTGCTCAATATGAACTTGATTCGTCTGAGGATGTGTAGCAAGGAGGACGGGGTAGCTGGGGCCACAATGAGGAATAGGATTGTGGATACCATGACAATGTACACCCTAACAATCCTACCATTGAGTTAAACATGTGTTTAAAATATGTTTAAACTGACCTAAACATGTTTGAAACATGCTGTTTACATGCTTAAGACATGTGTTTTAGCATTTTAATGCATCTGGAACTTATGTTGCAACACGCTTCCTCTCCAATGATAGTCGTCCACAAGAGCAGGAGAACGATGCCACGCTTTGGTATGCGATGCCGTGCAGTGGAAGACCTGGGCTGTCAACACGCGACCGCCCTGCATGGCCTTCCCGGTCTCGGGCGGCGAACCTGTCGTTCGGGGCCCAGCCGGCGCAGCCCACTTTCGAGGCAACCGTGGCCCACTCGGTGGGAATCAACAACTTAAAACCAAAGCTCCGCAGCCAAAATCGGGGCAAGAGGTTCAGCGCAGACGGGGCTCAGCCAACACGCCACAGTCTAGCGGAGCCGGACTTGGAAGCTGTCCGAGTCCCCAGAGGTGGCCTTACATATTGGCTGATCTGGGATCCGGAAACACACAAGACACCTGCTGTACATTTTTCCTGAATTGGCTGACCCGGGGATGCGCTGAGCCTGGTCAATCCACGCCCGAAAAAAATGAGGAGGGCCGCGCGGCAGCAGCGAGCCAGAAGAGAAAGAGCTCGGAAAACGTGACGACCCTGCACGGATCACCGGCCTTGAGGCGATCAGTGTCTCTCCCCCGCCCGCTGCATCAGACGCGGTCGTCCGGCGGGGGCCCGCAGGGCGCCTGCGGCCGCGCTCCTGGGGTGGGTGCGCCGGGAGGAAAACAAGGCGCGGCCGCGGACGGCCGCAGGGCGAGGAGGAGGAGGAGGAGGAGGAGGAGGAGGAGGAGAAGGAGGAGGAGGAGGAGGAGCCAATTCATGTCTGGCTCTGGGTGGGAGGAGGAGGAGGAGGAGGAGGAGGAGGAGGAGGAGGAGGAGGAGGAGGAGGAGGAGGAGGAGGAGGAATGAATGAAAGACCACCTGCGATCCATGACCTGTTCCATGACTCATACGTGCTGGATCTGTGAAGCTCGAACTGTAAGGAGAGCCTGTCTTGCAGCCTCGCTGGGGGACGCCTCTGGCTGACGGCGGGACCCCACAAAAAGGAAAAACCACGGGGCCCGCCTGCAGAACCGTCCCTTTTCACGCGCTGCACTGAAGGGGGGTCGAAATGCCTCCTCAGCTGCAGAGAGGGAGTGTGGGGCGCCAGAGCCATTTCCTGCAGCAGGGGGCCCCAAACGGCATCCCCTACGACAGGGCACAACTCAAAGCGACGCCTACCCCCTCCCTCAAATCCTAAAGAGAACGCCTGCCTATGACGTGGTGCTGCCAGCTGCCAGCTGGCGAGACAAAAACATTACTTTTCTGAGGGGGGCGGCGGGGGGATGATAACGCGAGATGCATGGGAATATGCCGAAACGGTGGCAGTGGCAAAGTCAGCGTGCATGTGGCCAACTCTGATAGAACGAGACTGTAACTGCGCAAAGTGATCGAGCTGGACTGGGGTGCCCGAGATAAACATCTGAAACATTGTCGCCAGATCGATACTCGAGGATGGGTCTGTTGACGCGAACGTGCAGACCGAGGAGACTATCCTAGGATACTTGACCTTGCCTAAAAATTCGAAGCGCCCTCTCGGAACCGTTTCTGCTGACCAGAAAAGCTGGGGCCTTCACCGCGGGCTGGGGGGTCAGAAGTCCTCGTCGTCCTCCTTTCCCTCCTCTGCCTCTTGGTGTGCTTGGCTATCTGGGCCGGCGAGTAGCCCATCTGGCGGAGCAGCTTCTCCGCGCCCCGCTCCAGGGCGCCCTTGGGCGGCGAGCCTGCCTTCTTGAGACCGCCCTGGTTGCTGATCGTAAGGCCGATCGCCGCGTCGACCGTGTAGAGTGTCTCGCCGTTGTGCTCCGTAGATGTGGCCTGGAGGTATGGTGGCATCATCAGCTGCAGCTTGCAATGGGTTGGTTTGGCGCCGTCGTACCAGCAGTCCTTGATGCGACAGTATCTGACTTGGTCCTGGAGTGTCTTGATGCAGTCCTCGCGAGGGTTCCCTTGCATGAGGCTGTTCCAGTGGAGCTTGAGCGTGGGGGCGACCTTCTCGTTGGCTGGAGGCAGCGACGCCAGGTGCTGCGGCAGGGCAAGGAAGATGTGCGGCCACGGCGGGCCGAAGGTGTGACTTCTCCCTGCTACCTCGCAAGCCTCCGAATAAGCCTTGCCAGTGCTCTTCATGATGTCCACAAGGCGCACTGCGACGTGGGCGATCCAGCAGTGAAAGCAGGCGCCTGTCAGATCGGCCAGCTCCCTGAAATTCGTCGAAGACAAGCGCGCGAGGATGGCCCGCCAGCGCCTGGGTTTCGGTCTTGAGGGTCTCTAGCTTGGCTTTCTTGCCCTTGCTGTCGTTGCCCGAGGTCGAGCCCGCGGCCTTGCGTTTGGGCCCGTCCAAGATCCACGCTGGTGCGTCGGTCATCGCGACGTCCGACATCAGCGCGAGGTGGTTGCACCCGTGGTAGTGCCTCAAAATGGCCGCGAATATGAGCCGAGAGCTGATCATTCTGAAATATTTGAGCCTCACATAAAAGGGCACGTGCTGACCTCCGCCTGCTAGACCCCTCTGAACGTGGAGCTTCGATGTGCCGAGCATGCGCCTGTGTGGAAAGAACCGCGGAGATGGTGATCGGCCGAGTTGCGGGACTCAAAGACCGCCTCACATCTGAAGCACTGGTTGGTCATGACTGCCTTTTTTCCCAAGAGTGCCTTCATCCCATGGCGGTTGCGAAGGTACACGAGCAGCTGCCTCATGGCAGCGAAGCTCCGATCGCAACCCAAGACAGGACAGGCGTAAGAGCCCTCGTGGCCCCTCTTGGCCCCCATGGTCGGTACCGTATCGGCCTCGGAAAAACCTGGTGGAGGCATCCGCGCGCTGCGCCATCGAGCTCTCATGCACTTGGCGCCGAACCTGATGAACCAACCGGCGAGATCGGGGTCCTGGAAGAGGCTGAAGGGGGAGGAGCCGAAGTCCTGGGACAAGCGGCCTCAGTTAGCTGTTGGCCATCCCCTACGATGTCAAACTGGTAGAGTTTCTCGGCCCCAATGGTTCCCAGCAGCCCCCCCCCCCCCCACTCCGAAATGTACTCCTCTGGGTCAGTAACCCTACGCTGGCACCGCCGAGTTCGACGAGAACGTAATTCGAGTTCCAGGGGCCCGATAGGCTTAACGATCTGGACATGCCCTAAAGGCACCTCAAGGGAAAATAATCCGAAGTAGGTTTTAGATAAGAATAAAGTAACTCTAGCTGGGATGCTGCAAGTAGCGTGTAGATAACGATTAAGTAACAAGTATTTGCGCCATCGAACACGGAGTAAGCCTACGGATGACAGTATGGCGCGCAACTTCGCGGGGCTCGAAGACCCCTGGATCGCGTCCTGCAGTTCGATGGCCTTGCCCCGCAAAGCTGATGCATTCGAGGCGTTCAGCGCCGCTACGGCAAGATAAAACTAGGAGGAGGAGGGCGGGGGGAGGAGGGGAGGGGGAGGGGCGAGACGGACGGAAGGAGGAGGGGAGACGAGAGGAGGGGGAGGAAGAGGGGGGGAGAGGTGGAGGGGAGGGGGGGGGGGAGGGGGGGGGGAAGGGGGAGAGGGGGGGTCGGCAACGGCGGAATGGCCGACGGGAAATGGGGAGGGAGGGCGGGGGGAACGGGGCAAGGAGCGGCGAACGAGCGGGGAGAGGCCAGACGAAAGATCGATGAGACATCAGACGTGAGATCGTTCGCGCACTACCTCAATATAGGTATCCAGGCGGCGGCGCCGCGGTCCAGAAGAACGCTCCGAGGGGTGTCCAGCCCCACCGATCATGTTGTTATCACGTCCACCCCATCCTCAGTCATCGAGCTCTTCGCCGAGCCCTCCCCCCCCCTCCTCCCCCCTCCTCCCCCCCCTCCTCCCCTCCCCCTCCCCCCTCCGTCCCCTTCTTCCGCCCTCCCCCTCCTCCTCCCCCCGTCCCAACCGTCCCGCCCCCTCCCGTGCATACGCCGCCCCCCCCCGCTTGCGCCATGAGAGATGGCTCGCACCCCTCGGAGGAGAGCAAAAACAAACGGCGAGCTGGCCAGGCGCCGCCTCGAGGCGAGGCGGAGGAGGGGCAGGAGAGCGCGACGAGGAGGAGAACGGGGCGGACGAAGAGGAGGGAGACGATCGCGGCGGGGGGAGCCGTGGAGGGGAGTCGGGGGCAAGACGCGGGGGGAGGCAGCCAACGATGCGCCGACGGGGGGGGGCCGTCGGCGAACTCGACGCCCGCCGTCGAGCGGCAACCGCCATCCAGGCCAGATCATCTCTGAGGCCCAACCTTACTGAAACGCATCCTCAGACTTCCGTGGAAATCAATTCCTAAACCTCCCCCTGCTCCTCCTCCTGCTCCTCCTCCTCCTCCTCCCTCCTCCTATTCCTCCTCATCCGTCCTCCCCCCCTCCTCTCCATCATCTCCCCCCTCGTCCTCCCCCTCCTCCTCCTCATCCTCCGATCTAGCCCTGGGCCCTGGGCGCAGGCCCCTGGCCAAGCGGCAGGCGCCCTACCTACGCGCGATTGGCCGCGACAACGCGCAGGGCGTTGGCCAAGGTCGCGCGCATGTCCTTGGAGTTGCCGCCGTGCGTGCGGAAGGCGCGGGGCTCGTCGACGACGGCCTGGCGCATGCGCTCGGGGTGGCCCGAGTTCACGTCCACCTGCATGCACACAAGGTTCTCCGTGACTGCAGTGCGGGCCCTGAATACACACTTGGTCGCCTCATCGACGAGTGGGATCTTAGGGTCCTGGCTCATGAACGAGGCCGCCGTCTTGTAGTCATTGATCGCTGCGTCCGTGGCCTCAAGCTGATGGGGCAACGCTTTGAACGACGTGGTCTGCGTCTTCGCTTTCATGTGGGCAATGATAGCCTTGATGTCGGCATTCGGCAACAGACCAATTGACCATGGGTTCCCGTCCGTCGCCCCGTGCATCGTCTTCTTGAGCTCCACCACGGCCTTTGTGAGCAAGTCCTCGCACCGCAGGAGCTTCACGCGGCCGCCCTTGTCGATCAAGGCATCGGCATCCGAGGCCCACTTCAGCACGGTCGCCTTGAAGGCATCGGGCAGTCCAGGAGGCGTCGCGGAAGCATCCGAGAAGTGCGAGTGCACCTTCGCCGTCAGCGAACCGAGCCCTTGCGCGTGCTCTGCCCAGCCAATCTTTGTCGAGAAGTCATCCTGTCTGCAGAAGGCCTGCACGTTTGCCAACATGTCGCGCAACTCGAAGCTGGTCTTGAAGATCTCGACGGTAGTCGTAGTGACGGGATCCTTGATCCCAACAACCTTGTGGAACTGCGTCAAGCACTTCAGGATGTCACTCTCGCGGTCGGAGTCGCTGTTGGTGGCCAACTCAACGACTAGGCCTTCCACCGTTCCCTCGATGAAAGGCCAATCCTTGTTGCCAGCCTTCTTCAGCGGGCCCGCGCGGTAGTTCTGGCACACCTTCAGCAGAGCCTGAATATGCTCGAAGCAGTCGGTCGTGAAGCCACTGGAGCGCGCGTCCTCGGGATCGTCCGAGTCGAACAAGGCCTTGCACGTTGTCATGAGAGACGACTGGCTGCTCTGGGACTCCATCACGCCCAAGAAGTTCGCCACGTGGGTGCTCGCCGTGCTGATGTCCGTGTCCAATGCGAACGTGAGGGGCGCCTCCTGCGCCAAGGCTGACACGGCCTTGACCCTCTCTGGCGCCAGCGCCGCCGCGCTCGCTTCCGACTGCAAGCCGAGGCACACGCAACAGATGATACCCTTCAGCTTCGACTCGAACCCGTCGGTGAGGCCATGCGGGAAGCCGATCTTCCAAGTCACGCTCTTCGTGCACAACTCGCGCAGCTGGCTGACGTCGATCTTCGCCTGGTCGGACTCGCCCTCGGGGACGCAGAACTCACGACGAAGGAGGAGGAGGAATAGGAGGAGGAGGAGGAGGGGGGGGAAGAGGAAGAGGAGGAGGGGGGGAGGAGGGACGAGGGAGGAGGGGGCAGGAGGATGGAGGAGGGAAAGGGGTTGGGGGGAAGACGGGGGGGGGGGGAAGGGGAGGAATGGAGGAGGGGGTGGGGGGGGGGGGGGGGGGTGGTGGGAGGGGGGGGGGGGGGGGGGGGGGGGGAGTGAGGGGAGAGGGGCGAGGAGGAAGGAGGAGGACAGGAGGACTCAGAGGGCGGAGGAGGGTGCGGAGGAGGACGAGGTTCACATCCACGGCCTCGGCCGTCTCGAGGTCGCTCAGGGCGCTGCGGAAGGCCCCCAAATTCTCGCGCATGAAGGGCATCTTGTCCAGGAGCGCCTCAAAGGTGGAGTACCAGAAGGCGGTCCTCTTCGTGATCGCCGCCACGAGGTGCAACGCTGATGTGCCTGAGGACGTCGTCGCCCTTGAGAAGCGCTTGACCGCGTCGAATGCGTCATCGGCCAGGTGAAGGCAATGTTCGTCGCTCATCGCGGTGTTCCAAAAGAGCTTGATATCCTTGATGTCCGTGATAATCCCAGCGGGGTCGGCCCCAACATCAAGCAAGTCGATGCCCTTGAACTCGTCGCCCAGTGCGTCGATGATCCTGCGCACGTACGCGGCCTGCGCCTGCCCCTTGCCAATCGCAGGACAGAGCGACTTCTTCAAGACTGCATCGGTGAATGCACTCGCGCGCTCGTCTTCGTCAGTGACCGCTGCAACTAAGACGGGGTCCGTCGGGTCGAACTCGGGCACGGGGTCCGAAAAAGGCGTCATGACACGGATGAAGAAGGACACGTTGGACCGAGGGTCGAAGCTTGCCAACCTCGCCGTCACCAAGGCGAACCTCGTGCCGCTTGGGATCACGGCACGTGCATCAACCATGGTCTTCACGTACTTCTGAATCTGCACCCAGTCGTACCCGACGATGTTGGCGGGCTGCAGCTTCTTGGCGGTGGCGACCTCGTCGGAGAAGGTGGTCAAGATGGCCCCGTCGGCCTGGCCCGAGGGCGACGAGTGGAGACGGCCGATCTTCTTGGTCAAGGCGGCGATGGTCCTCCCGTCCACCGCGTCGGCCATGACGTCACCCAAAGGGATTTTCTTCTTCCACTTGGCGAGGAGATCTTGTCCCGTGGTGCCGTCGTCCTGGTCCTCGAACGCGGTCGTGGCGGCCACGCTGGCGGCGCGCGGGCCCCCCGGGCCGAAGGACTCCGAAGGGGCCCCCGACGCGTTGGCATCCGACCCCGACCTCGTCTTGTTCCTGATGCGGCGCCTGCCCGAAGAGACTGGGCTGAAGGCAGCGTCCCCGAGCATGCGAGGCCTCTTGCTAGGAGATAGGAACGACTCGGGCTTCTGCTGCGGAGGAGCGGCGGTGGCGGAGGACAAAAAGGCTGCCAAGGTCGGCAACGCGTCGCTGGACGCCTTGCTCAGAAGCGACTGAAGACCATGTTGCTGAAATGCAGCTGCGGAGCATTGAGCAAGCATGTCCGCGCCCTGGGCGGCGAAGAGCTGGTTGTCTGCGCACAGCACTCTCCCCTGCATTTTCCACTCGCGGATGACCTGAAGCTCGGCGGTCCGCGGCAACGACTGGTCGTCCTGACCGTCGCCCTTGAAGACGTGCAGCTGCTCCTCGCCCTTCCCAGACTCGTGCGGCATCGACGCCGCGGCGGTCTGCTCGCTGATCTTCCTGGGGATGCGCTCCACTTGCAGCTTCGACCTCACGTCGGACGCTGGGGTGACCACGACGGGGCGCTTGACGACCAAGCGGGTGGTAGTGTTCTCGTGAACGTCGCTCGGCGTGAAGCCCTGTCTGCCAGAGCTCACTGTCTTGTCACACTCGGGCAAGCGCTCGTCCAAGTTCTCGTCACTCTCAGCGGCGTCTACCGTGTCGCGGAACGACTGGCCAGGGGCGACGGCGATGACGCTCTTGTAGCACGACTTGCAAGCCTCGCCGCAAGCGACAGTGGCGCCACCTGTGCCTGCCTCACGGTAGAGGGCCCACTCGGTCGTAGCCTGAGGGGGGCCCAAGTCAGAAATCACACGCACCTGGCGGCCACCCTACACGACCCCTGTAACAAGTTTTGCTGTGACCCATGGGCGCCCACACTGAGCAGAACGTCGGGAAAGACCACGGCGGGCCCCATTGGGAAAGACTGTCGGGTTCGGGCATCCCCCTCCAAGCGGGACCCTCGTCGCCCTCGCCCTGGCCGCCCTCGGTCACCCCCTCCTCCGTTGCCTCCGCCTGCCGCCCTCCCTCATCGCCCCCCTCCCCATCCCCCTGCCGCCCTCCCCCATCGACCCCCCCCCCCCCCCCCCCAGAAGCCAAAGGAGAACACGCAACAAACACACAAGTTCATGCCCATTGCACTGGTGTCTGGTGGCAGCGGTAGCAGGTCGTGGCGTCCGCGTTCGAGAGGCCCGCCATCTTGGCCGCCTCCTGGGCAGACGCAATCTGGAACTTCGTGCGCCTCTGGCGCTTCGGCGCTGCCTTCGGCGCTGGTGCTGCGACGATGGTGGGCCCCTTCTCCGATGGCGAGGGGGTGGATGCAGCAGCGGCCCTCTGCTGCGGAGTCAGACACCTCTTCTTCTTGTCGCCAGCCATTGCCGACGTAGGTCACAAAGGGCGGTAGTTGACTTGAACAGGGTCTGATAACCTCGCGTGCCAGCGCAGGAAGCGAAAGCATCGATCCATAAGATCAACAGGCGACTGGCACAGATACTTCACAAAGTGAAGGCGCCCTCATGGCATGACGATACCAAAGGACCTCGCCGCGAACCAAAGAGCCTCCCAAGACAGACCCCGAAATCGCCAAATGGGCACACCCCCTACGCAGATCGCAGAGCTGGGGGCTGGAGGCGGAAGCAAGGGGAGGCAAGTCGCCTGTCGGAGGGTGAACGGGGGGGGGGGGGTCGCACGGGTTGCTTTCGCAATTGCGCGCAGACGGACAGCGGGCATCAGAGGCCCAAGGGTTCCCACATAAACCCCATGCGCGCCAAGCGGGCCACAATGCGGCCCCAGGACAGACCGCGACCCCCCCCCCCATTCCCCTGGCCAGTCCCACACACACCTCACACGGATCGTGGAGTCTGGACGTGCAGGGCCGAAGGCCTATGGAAGGGGGGTTGAGGGGGGGACTCCCCAGCGATCGACTCACTCGCCCCCCCCCCCCCCCCCCCCCCCAAGACCGCTGCCCAAGTGGGTTGCGAGCCCCCCCGAGATGCCCCCTCAGGCCCCAAGATGCCCCTAAGCAGCCTAAGATGCCGAAGGCCCCAAGATGCCCCCAAGCAGCCAGCCAACCAACAGACCAGCCAACATCTGGCCGTGCTACGCGAAGCGTAAATTAAATTGTAGCGCAGGTGCACGATGTTGAGAAGGCAGGAGCCGCCAACTTCATCGCGGACATCCACAGAATGCCCGAGGGCACGCGGCATGGCTCCCTCAGGGCGCGCACCATGCCGCGTGCCGCGCGCCCTCGGGCATGACATGGCCTCCAGTACTCCGAGACTCTGAGATGATGGCAAAGCCCTGTGGAAACAAGTAAAAAAGCGAAGACCCTGGCCAGGAACCCCGAGGCCCTGGCCGAGGATTGCACAGCCGCGGCGACGAGGGCTCCTGGAAGGTCGGCGGTAAGGCAAGGCAGAAGCCAAGGGCCAAGTGCCCAGCGATGCCCTTGAGGCCCCAAACCTAAGGCCTACGGCCCCAAGACGCCCCTAATACGTACCTGAGCCCAAAGACGCCGAAGGCTCCAATATGCCTTTGGCGCCAGGAAAACCCAAGACGGCCAGCCAACCAACCAACCAACCAACCAGATGTTTATGACGCCCGCAACCTAAGCATGCCGAAGACTGCCAGCGGCTGGCAGTGAGCTGGCGGGGGCCATGGCAGGGTGGGATGGCCCCCGATGGGGGCCCAAGAAGGGGGCCTGCAGGGCCCAGAGCGGGCGCGTGTGGCTGACCTGCCCCCTGGGGGCTGCGGTCGGCGAAACTGTCGCAACCTTCGCGGGCTCCTCGGGGGCCCAGCGCAGTGGCATCGCACGCAGACAACGTGAGACATCCATGTCCATTGGGGGTTGGGGTTGGGGGGTGGATGGGGCTGCGATCTGTGAAACTTCCCCATCTTTCGTGAGCTACCCGACCCCGCCGTTGCCCCCCCCCCCCCGCGCCCGCGATAGTGCAGCATCGCGCGTGACCAGCGCGACCCCCGCTGCCATGACCATGGTTCCCGAGGGCCCAACCTACGGCGCAACTGATGCGAGGACAAGGAGGAGGAGGAGGAGGAGGAGGAGGAGAAGGAGAAGGAGGAAGAGGAGGAGGAGGATGGGGAGGGGGGGGGGGGGGGGGGGGGGCAAGGGCAAGGACAAAGGCGACGGCGACGAGGAGGAGGACGCCGACGAGGACATGGAGGAGGACGAGGAGGAGGCCGAGGGGAGGGAGGAGGGGGAGAAGGAGGAGATGGAGGAGGACGAAAAAGAGGACGAGGACGAGCAGGAGGAGCGGCCCAGACTGGCTCAACGCGAGACTGCGCATGGTCGCCGTTTGGGCTGGTAGCGGGGCCCACGCGCAAAGCGGCGAGCTGTCGTGCGTTCAAACTTTGAACACGCGACAGCTCGCCGCTGTCGTCGCCGAAGCCACGCGCACTTTGGGCGGGGAGGGATGGGGGCCCCCACACAGGACCCTCCACCACCCCGCTACTCCACTACGCTTGCCGTTGCCCCTCCCCCTCACCCATCCTTTCCATCGTCTGCATCCTCCCCCTCCTCATCCTCATCCTTCTCTTCATCCACCCCCCTCAGCCACCGCCTCATCACCCTCCTCCTCCCCCGCATCCTCCCCCTCCTCCGCCCCCATCCCTCCCCCCCCTCCTCATTCTCTTCTTCCTCATGTCATCATCGTTCCTTCTCGTTTTGGGGTGCACGCGTCGCCTTGGGTTCAGGGGCGCTGGCTCGGCGGCGCGTCGGCGTCGCCGACGCTAGGCTGCCCCCGCAGAGCCCAATTGACCTCTCCAGCGTCAGCGCTGCAGCGAAATTCAACCTGCGTGACAGAGGAGGAAGACGAGGAGGAGGAGGAGGAGGAGGAGAAGGGGATACCGAGGAGGAGGAGGAAGGAGGAGGAGAAGGGCGCCCGCGCAGCCTAACTCACCCACCAGCTGACGCGCAAGTTTTGCGCTTGACGCAGCGGCCCATCCGCCGCAGGGCCAGCGGCCGATAGAGCGTTGGATAACCGCAGCCACGCTGCCCCCCTCGTTGCAAAACGAGGTGAATGAGCGGCGTGCCCCCTCATTGTACGCCTCGTGCTTTTTCCCCGCGCGGGAATACCAAACCTCTTGAGTCCAGTCACTGGACTCATCGGCCCAAGGGGTGCCCGCCGCGGCCGAGGAGGCCGAGGCGGCGAGCGGCGACGCAGCCGACGCGCTGGCCGCCGCGCCGTCGGGCGACGAGGGCGAGGCGCCGCTGACGAGCGGCTCGGCGAGCGACGCTGCGGCCGACGCGGCGGCCGCCGCGCCGATGGGCGACGAGGGCGAGGCGCCGCCGACGAGCGGCTCGGCGAGTGGCGCCGCGGCCGACGCGGCGGCCGCCGCGCCGATGGGCGGCGAGGCCGCGCGTGTCGCATCGGCCTCGCCGGCCGCCTCTGCCCTCTGCCGCTTTTGCGGCGGCAGCGCGGTGGCTTCCGCGGCCTTGGCGGTGGGGCCGAGACCACGCCGCGCGGCGGGATGGGGCGCAAGGGGGGCAGCACGCGCGGCTGCGGCATCGCGGGGGCCACCACGCGCGGCGGCGGCACCGCGGAGGCCACCGCGCGCGGCTGCGGCATCGTGGGGGGCACCACGCGCGGCGGCGGATCGCCCGCCAGCATGTGCGGTGGTGGCCCAGGTGGTGGCGACGGCGCGACATGCCTGGCGGCCCGCGCGGGGCCGCCAAGCACCCAGCCTCGCGAGCAAGCTAGCGTGGCGCGCGCGTCCAGTGCAGTCCTCCCCTTCTTCCTCCTCCTCCTCCTCCTCCTCCTCCTCCTCATCCCCCTCCTCCTTCCCATCCTCCTCGTGCTCCTCCGCATCCCCGCTCTCTCTCGCTTCGCAATCCCCCCCCCCCCCCCCCCCTATCCGTCATCCGCCCCCCATCTGCTCGCGATCTCTCCCCGTTCCCGCCTTCACTTAGTGAGTCTCGGCTTGTGACCTGTAAGAGAGTTCGCTGAGGTCCCCAGGGGGCCCGCCGATCCAAATTGGGCCCTTGTGGAGGCCAAATCGAATTCATTTTTTTTGGTAAAAAAAAAAACATTGGTTTTCTAGCTGCGGCAAGTGATAGCGAAACGCGTTTCAAAAACAACGCGCGTTAGATGCGCCGCGCGAAATTACTTCGCGGCGCCGCGCTCGCGACTCGGGCTCAAAGCGGCCGTTGCAATTTTTTAGAATGTAGTCCGCGCGCGAAAACAAGAAATCCGCCCCTGGCGCAAACCTAGGAATCAGTTTCTTCAAAATACACTTCGGCGGCCTCGCTCTCGAGCGCGCGCGCAGTCGACGCCGAAAAGAGCTATTTCATACCGCTGGCGGGATGCACGCCGCGCGCGGCGTGCTAACATACGAGATGTTAGCGCATCGAGCTCGTCGCGTTTACCAAGCAGTAACCCAACAGTGCCATTAAACACCTAACGGTATGAAAACACAAGCGGCCTCAAGCGGCGTTGCTTTCTATTCGATGTCGGCGCCATTGCTCTGCATTATGTTCCCGCGCCTCGCGCGGGAGGGCGGATTGCATTTTGCTCGCGGGGGCCCCTTTATGACAGGAGTCAAAAAAAAAAAGCCCAAGAGTCCAACGTCATTGAAGATGCACACTCTAGCCCAGAACCCAGAAAATCTCAAGGGGGGTCGGCAGAATGGCAAGAGCACTTCGGATATCACGATCACGTGCCACGCGTGACTTCGGAGCGTGGCTTGTAGTTAATACGTATGCATATTGCCGACGACGCACGACAGACCGACGGACGACGACGACGGACGACGGACAACACGACGACAACAACCG